CTCTGCGCATGTGCACTCTGGGATCAGGTTCCAGTTGTTCCTCTGGCTCACTGCTGTTTAGCTCCGAAGGCAGCTGAGAACTGCTAGATGGCCTTGGCCCCATCTCTGCCTCCGATGCAGAGCCCTCATCTGAGCCTTCCCCAGCCTCCAGGACTGGCCCATGTTCCTCCCCAACCTACTCACTGTCCGACTCTGCTGCCAGCTCTGCTGGCCACTGGAAGGCCACAACAAGACTTGAGTAAAATGAAAATGAAATTTAATGGGGGGGAAAAGCAAGGTTTTACACTCAGGCAAATAAAGAAAACCAACAACAATGAAAGGTATAAGTACAGATTAGGTGAACCTTGGAGTCCTAGTAGATGATCACTTAAAGATGAGCCAACAGTATGTGGTGGCAACCAAATAAGCCAATACAATAATTGCATAAACGGAGGCATAGAATCAAAAGCACGTGAAGTATTACTACCGATTTATAAATCCTTAGTAAGACCACACCTGGAATACTGCATCCAGTTTTGGTCACAACATTACCAAAAAGAGTTTGAGACTTTGGAAAAAATGGAGAGAAGAGCAACTAAGGCGATTAAAGGCTTGGAGACTAAAACATAGGGAGAATGGTGGCAGGAATTGAGTATGTCTAGTCTCGAGAAAAGAGGGATTAGAGTGACATGATACAATATTCCAGTATTTGAGGGGCTGTCCAAAGAGGAGGGGGTCAGCTTATTTTCCAAAGCACCAGAAGGCAAGAAAAGAAACAATGGGTAGAAACTAATCAAGGAAAGAAGCAACCTGAAATTAAGGAAAACCTTCCTAACAGTGAGGACAATTAACCAGTGGAACAGCTTGCTTTCAGAAGTTGCAGGTGCTTCACCACTGGAGTTTTTAAAGAGAAGATTGGACAGCCAGTTGTCTGAAATGGTATAGGGTCTGAGCAGGGGGTTGGACTAGAAAACCTCCAAGATCCCTTCCAGCTCTATTCTGATTGATTGAGTATCACAACTCCATTTGTGTCTTGGGTGCAAAACTTCCTGTGCCCTACTAAATAAATGGTTTCTTGAATTGTCTACTTTGCCCATAGTTTTCTATGCTGGCATTTTGTAGACAAGAACTAATGGGCAAAAGTGGTGTGCACTATGTGGCCTTGCACAGATGTTTGTAGCAAATTAGTTGCACAAAGAATATCCAGCAGGATGAAACCTCTCCAGGATAAAACATTAATTCCACACCATCATTATGGCAAGAGGCACGTTAGAATCAAACAGGATCAACTAAAAAGAGATTGGACAACTAATTGTCTGAAATGGTATAGGGTTTCCTGCCTGAACAGTGGGTTGGATTAGAAGACCTCCAAGGTCAGTTTGTTCTGTTCTGTTCTGTTCTGTTCTCTTCACTTCTCTTCTCTTCTCTACCTCCAGACTAACCTTGATTCTACCATCACAACACTAATTTTATCTATCTTGATGGGAAGAGGAAGAATAGGATGGAGGAGAAGGCTTTTCTTTGATCCTAGTGAAAGATCAGTCTTAAATCACCAGGAATCTGTATGACAGAGAAGGAAAGATTTCCCCCCTCACATATAGCTTTCCCCGTTGTTGACTTTGGCTTAAAAAACATAATGATCAGAGAGAAAGCTGTAGAAATGTGGTTCCTTTGCCTTGTGACTCTCTTATCTCATGATTCCTCTTTTGCTAATCTCTGAATTTATTTTGACTGACTAAGAGCAGCACAAAAAAATGCAAATGTATTATTTTTTCCCATGTCTTTCAATTTACAGAAGTAAAAAACATGATGAGGGTAATTTACAAAATGCTACAATGAAAGTATTAAGATAAATACAGTTATATTATTAAAAATAATATATCCAAAAGATATAGATTAAAATATCAATATATTTCAATTATTAATACCCCATACAGATTGAAAAGCTATTCAGCGGACCGTCAGAATTATCACTGTAACTGTTGCAATGTCTGGATAAGAATATATTATTGTGAATTGGGCATTGTTATGAAGAAATTGTAGAAATGTGTGATTGCTGGAATTTGGATACAATGTAGTAGCCATTGTGTTATCTGTCTATCTAGACCAGCAGTGTCAAACTCAATTTCATTGAGGGCTGCATCAGGGTTGTGTTTGACCTTGGGGCAGGTGGAAGTGGGGCCTGGCCATAATGGGAATGGCCAACTCAACATCACTGATGTTGGGGGCGTCTGTAGTGGCCCAAGCGCTCTGCCAGCAAAAACGGAGCTCGAGAGGGCCTGGCAGAGTCATCATGTTCCCAGGGCAGCCCCGCAGGCCAGATCTAAGCACCCCACGGGCCGCATCCAGCCTCTGGGCCTTCAGTTTGACATCCCTGATCTAGACACTAGGATTTGAAAACGATTTGTTGGAACATAATCAATTAATAATCAATGTTATTTATTGAACATCTGCCAGTGCTGGAATGCTTAGAAGGATGGTTGCATGTAGAAATGTCTAGAACAATATGCTGCTTCCTTCAAATTGACAAAAAAACATTGTTTGTGTGTTTATTTAATTTATAAGCTGCCCAAAGCGACTCTTAAAAGTGTTCCCCAGTTGCAAACTCTGCCCCTTCCTTTTCTGCATTTGTGTGATATCACACACAAAAGGGGCAGAGATCTCTCCACCTCTGGTTGCATCCTCTATCATTTGGGGAGGGGAGGCAAATGATATTTGGCATTCAGATTTATATTTTGAAAAAGAAACAAGTTGCTTTCCTTTTCAGTAACAGAGGGCTGCATACTGACAATTACTGTTTTCTCTGATTGGCACTGAGTCTCCAGGATCTCAGATAGATGGACAGTGGATTTCCACAACACTTCTGCTTGATTGTTTTCCAGCAGACTTCCTTGGAGCCGAACCTTGGAACTTCTGCATACAAAGTCTGCACCATTGACTTTCTTAAGGTGCAACAGTGCCCTCTCTGTGCAGGTTTTATTGCACAGTTTATTTGTATGCGTAGTTGTAATGGAAGTAGTAGCAGCATGCAGGAACCAGCCCCAAACACAAAGGTTGAAGCATAAATTGAATTTATTTTTACTGACAAAGAAATAAAGAGAGACTAGTATAGATCTATTTCAAGCTATTTAGCTCTCATCAGCTAGTCATAAGCCTTTCTGGGATTCGGACCCAGGCTACTTGCATATTAGGTAGATGTATTAACCTCTAAACCACGGGCTCTCCTCGCTTTGTCGGCTATACCAGGGGAGAGATTAAGTGTTTTTTTCAAGTGAGACCGGTCTATCAGGGCAACCTTGTCTGCCCAATTATGGGATGGATCCTATTTCTTCCACTTTCACCTTTCAGCCCCAATCCAGGAGTCTTTGCAGGCAGTCACTTTTGCGACAAACTATTTTTGTGTTGAATCTATGGTTACCAACAAAGAAAGAAAGGGAGAACTAATATAGATCTATTTCAAGCTACTAAGAGGTTAAGGGTATGACTAGCTGATGAGAGCTAATTAGCTTGAAATAGATCTATAGTAGTCTCCCTTTATTTCTCTGTCGGTAAA